CAGTATAAGGCAAACGAATCAGGAAACTTAACACAAAGATCACTAAACAGGTAGCTTAACCATTGCAATTCACAAGACAAATCTGCCATTGCTCTGTATTCTGCTTCAGCAGAAGAGCGGCTGATTGTTGTTTGTTTCTTGGAACGCCAACTAATCAAAGATTTACCAAGAAATACACAAAAACCAGTGGTAGACCTGCGAGTATTGGGACAACCAGCCCAATCGGAGTCCGAGAATGCAGATAAACCAATAGCAGAATCTGAAGGGAAAAACAAACCTTTACCTGGATTATTCCTAATATATCTAACTAATCTATGTGCAGCATTCATGTGCAAATCAGTGGGATTAGCTACAAATTGAGTTAAGTGATGAACAGCATATTGTATATCTGGTCGTGTAGTACACAAATATAACAGCCTGCCAATTAATCGTCTAAAGGGAGAAGGGTCAGGAAGAGGATCACCAGAACTTGTTGAATACCGAATATTAGGTTCAGAGGGGGAATCTGCACCCTTTCCAGCAAGCAGACCAACATCTGCAATAACATCTAAGGCAAATTTTCTTTGACAGAGAGTTAGACCAGAAGAATTCCTAGCAATTTCTAATCCCAGAAAATACCGAAGTGGTCCTAAATCTTTAATCTTGAAAGTATCATCAAGTTTAGACTTAATAGATTTCATTTCTAAAAAATCATCACCTGTTAATATCACATCATCAACATATACTAATAGAGCCAAAAATTTGGAATCAGATTGTTTAGTAAACAGAGTGTGATCTGCTTTAGATTGAATAAAACCATTAGATAGTAAAAATTTAGTTAATTTGGAGTTCCACTGACGACTTGCTTGTTTTAGACCATAGAGGGACTTAGTTAGTCTACAAACAGGTCTTTTAATATCAGAAGGGGGAGTTAAACCTTGTGGAATTTTCATGTAAACCTCTTCCAAAAGGTCCCCATGCAAAAAAGCGTTATTAACATCTAATTGTTCAATAGCCCATCCCTTGATAGAAGCTAAAGCTAACAAGGCACGAACAGTAGTCATTTTAGCAACAGGAGAGAAAGTTTCTAGGTAATCTATACCCTTAGTTTGTGTATAACCTTTAGCCACTAGCCTAGCCTTAAACCTTTCTACAGTTCCATCAGCTTTGTATTTAATACGATAAACCCATTTGAATCCTATAGCTTTATGAGAAGAAGGCAAAGAAGTTACCCTCCAAGTATTAGTGGCTGCTAAAGCATCAAGTTCAGCTTGCATTGCTGCCACCCAACGTGGATCTTTGATGGCTTCCTCATAACAAGTAGGTTCAACTTCCTTGGACACACTCATGACAAAGTTCTTGTAACCAGCAGCTAGTTTATCATAAGAAAGAACATTGGACAGAGGATATGTGACATTAGAAGATGTAGCCACAGTGGAGTGACAAACAAAGTCCTTAAGTCTAGCAGGAGGCTTTGTTTGTCTTTGTGGCCTGCCAGCAGGAGCTGGACCATTAATGTTGGGTATTTGCAGAGGAATATGGACAGGATCAGTGACCTGTAACATTCCAGAAGGAGGAACAGGAATGGAAGTAGAAGAATCTGAGGGATCTATGAGAATATCAAGGTTAGGAAGATGTAACTCAGAATCTGGGGAAGAAGAAGAATGTTTGAATGGAAAAATATGCTCATGAAACACAACATCCCTAGACTCAATCTGTCTATGCGTGTTTAAGTCAATAAGTTTGAAGCCTTTGGTACCAAATGGATAACCAAGGAAAACACAAGGAGTAGCCCTAGGTTCAAGCTTAGGACGATTGTGACTCAAAGTACTAGCATATGCTAAGCAACCGAAGACCCTAAGATAAGCCAAATCAGGAGGATTACCCTTCAAAAGTTCTAAGGGAGCTTTGTTATGTGTTAATGGAGAAGGAATGCGATTGATAAGATGAGTAGCATGAAGAACAGCATGTCCCCAGAATTGAATAGGAAGGGAAGCTTGAAACAAAAGAGCCCTAGCAACTGTAACTATGTGTTGTAACTTCCTTTCTACCCTACCATTCTGTTGAGAAGTTTGAACACAAGAAGTTTGATGTAAAATACCCTTGGAATTATAGAAATTTGGAATATTGAATTCCTGAGCATTATCTGTTCTTATTACTTTTACATTCACAGCAAACTGATTTGAAACATAGGAACAGAAGTTAATAAGAAGTTCCCTAGCTTCAGATTTGTGTTTGAGAAGATAAACCCAAGTTACTCTAGTATTATCATCGACAATAGCAAAGAAATAACGATGTCCATCAATAGATGGGTCCTTGTAAGGCCCCCAAACATCACAATGTACTAAATCAAAAGGAGCTTGACTAACAGAGTCACTAGAAACAAATGGCAGTCTCTTCTGTTTGGCCAGTGGGCAAACAGAGCAGTGTATATGATCATTAACAGTAATAGGAATAGAATTAGCATGTAAACCCTTTATTCTAGGAGTAGAAGCATGTCCTAAACGGTAATGCCACAAATCAAACATAGTGTGTGAAGTATCATATGCCACAGATAGCAACCGAGGAATGGGAAGACCAGGCAAAGAGTTGCCAGGTTGAAGGTAGTAAAGGCCAGAGACCTGTTCAGCTATACCAATCGTCTGCATAGCTGACAGCTCCTGGATAAAACAAGCATTATGAATGAATGTCATGGAACAATTATGATGCTTTGTTAATTTGCTTACAGAGAGCAAATTAAATGTGAAAGATGGGATTAATAGCACATTTGAAATGATAAGACTATCATTCAAATGTACTGTGCCAATGTGAGTGACCTTTGCCTTAGAACCATTAGGCAAAGGGACAAAGGAATTATGCACAACACTAGAGGTATGAAGCATAGACAAGGAACAAGCCACATGGTCAGTAGCTCCAGTATCTACAACCCATGTTTGTTCAAGAGACCTAGTACTAGAACTATTTCCTACGGATAGAACCACTTTACCTGCAACCTCATCATAAGCAGAAGCAGAAGAGGTAGACTGTGCAGCAGCTGCATCCTCATAGAGAGCCGAGGATGAAGCAGCAGTAGACTGAATGCTGGAAATCGTCATCAAGTTGATGGAACCAAGATTGGTAGACTGTTGAGGCTGCTGAGGCTGAATAAGCGAGAGGAATGCCTGATATTGTGCACGAGAAAGAGTAAATCCTTCAGCAGAATCCTCAGAAACCCCATCTGATGAACCCTCAGCACACACAGCATTGACTGCCTTGCCACGAGCCTTGTATCCAGGTGGATACCCGTTCTTCTTGAAACACTTGTCGACTGTGTGACCAGCAAGCCCACAGAAAGTGCAAATAGGCCTCCTCGAACCATCCTTCTGACCTCGACGAAGCTGTCCAGACGAAGAACCACCTCCTTGAGCAGAAGACGAAGGAGGATAGTTGCCCGCAAACGCCATAGGAGGTTGAACTGCTGGAACAAGAGAGGCTCCATGGCGAGATTCGCGTTCTTGCTGAACGACCTGAGCAAACACGCGGTTGATCGGTGGAAGCGGATCTAGCTGAAGAATCTGAGACCTGATCGGACCAAAGGAATCGCGAAGGCCACGAAGAAACCGGATAATCTGATCTGCTTCGATGTAACTGCAAAGCCTGGAGAACGCTCCACATCTGCATCGAGGAGTGCATGTACAGCCAGGCAGAGGACGAAGCGCAAAGAACTCATCCCAAAGAACCTTGAATCGAGTGTAATACTCTGTCACGGTGAGATTGCCCTGCTTGAATCCATAGATCTCCTCATGCAGATCAGAAATCCGAACCAGATTCGCTTGGCCAAAGCGTTCTTGGAGATCCAGCCACACTTCCCTCGCAGAATCAAGCCAGAGAATCGACTGAGCAATCGTCGGCTCCAGAGAACGATAGAGCCAGCCTAGGACCATCAGATTGGCACGCTCCCAAGCCGGAAGCAACGGATCAGCATCTCCAGGACGCGGAGCTTCGCCATTGACGAACGCGACCTTGTTCTTCGCGAGCAACGCCATCCTCATCGATCGCGCCCAAGACTGGTAATTACCGCCATGAAGAAGCGTCGACACAAGCACCAGCGCCGGATTCTCGTTCTGGTTGAGATAATACGGATGATTGGGATCAAGATTCGCCGGAAGAGGAATCGCCATCGCGGCGGAAGAAGAGAGAAACGAAATCAAGAATATCTAAAACCCTAGTTTAGCTCTGATACCATGCCAGATTTCACAATTGCGGAAGTAAGAAAAATGAATATTGCATCAAAACGGCAGTTGTTCATTTACACTGTCCAGCTTTTATATGTTCACCAAATTACCACCTAGTACCTATACAAACTACTATTACATTATCTACCCATAAAACAACAAAAATTACACTGGTGGGTGCCAGCAACTTTCACTTTCTATTATAGGAGTAGGGGCTGGCCGGTGCCAGTTTGAGGGCTCAATCAAGGAAGGCAGACCTCGGAAGCAATACAAGATAAGGTTCGTCAGACTTTATCATTCCTCCGGGTCAGAGGGAATTGCGAGACCTACGCCCTTCTTCCATGAGAGTAGGTATACTAGAAGCCAAGAAGCTTGTGAACACATTAAACCAACCAGAGTATGTCAATAGGAACTTCGATGGATTGATTTGTTGGTGCATAGGAAAAAGGAAAAGGACTGGTTGTTTCAAGCTACGAAGTCCGGTGAATCCCGAGAGGAGGCAATCAACCTTTCATTCCTCTTCCTCATATATCACATCAATATCATCCAGAACGCAGACAACAACAAAATTGCAATGGCCACTACTACCCAGCTATCAACGCCAATGAAGAATATCTTGTATCAACGGCAATCTACCCACCAATCACCAAAGGAGCTCTGCCAGCAATTACCACCACCAGGCCAACCCTGGATAAGCCCAACCAGCCGCCACGAGCACACCACAAACCTCAAACGATGATTTCAAGACTGGAATCTCGGCACGCTTGACGCGATTCGGGAGGAGTACAACCACACGATGATAGCTATTCATAAGATGCTACAATCGACGATGACCTTGCAACCCAGTATTGATCCCTCTAATGAGCTAACCGCATCGCCCACCATCAAACCATCACCAATCGTGGTTGTCGAGCCTCCATCCGCAACTCCACCAAGCTTGTGGTTTCCATCGAGCATAGCTTTTGTTACTCCATCCGCTATTGTGGGTAAGCTCGGCCAGGAAGATGCACTGCCACCATCGTCCGCCAACGTCCCCATTTCACCAATGATTGTCGCAGTTAAAGAGCTAACCCTAGAAATTGTGAGTTTTGTCGCCCCAAACTGGTTTCCAGCGGTTAGAAATTTATTAACATTCCCAGACCAACGAAAATTATTTCTAACAGGATTATTTGAGAAAATGGTCATATTTGAGGACCTAGAAATAAGAGACCATATTCTAATGAACCGTCGCATCATCTTCCATCATTCTCAAATTTCATATCTTACAAATATCATCCACCATATAAAAAAAATTCATGAATTTTGATTGCTCAACCACTTCAGAGATTATGGTTAGTGCAAGACATGTCGATAATATTTCAATGTTTACTAGAGTAAATTTTTGAATTGAAATGGTATGTGTAAATTGGTCAGTACTTAATTTGATTGTTCTATGGTTATATTTTTCTTCTTTGTGTGCAATGATCTTAGAGCCTTTAAACTTGTTGTTTGGTGGGTAGTTCAAAGAGAATTTAGAAAGTTGGGATTGTGGTTGAGGTTTATTGGTGGTATTAATTTCATACTAAAAGTACTTGGTTGTTTGACATATGGAAAACTATATGATGTGAACATCCCAATCTACGACAAGGAGTAGAAGAAACAATAGCATCATTTACATTTAGGCTATCAGAATTGCAAGGAAATGGTTAATTTTAGTATTATGGTATACTTGTTATGGATGATGATTTTGGTATTGACATGATAATTAATTTTATTGCATGAAATCCAAATTGTATGTTTGCTGATTTGTGTGTCGAGTTTGCTAGTCCACTAATAGAGGAGAATGATACATCAAGTATGTCATCTAATAGTGTTCTTAGTGAGCCGGATGGTCGTATAGATGAGGCCAATGAGGGTGATATCGATGATGATGAAGTTAATGAAGTTGAGTATCGAGTTGTGATTGAAGGAGTTGCTACCTCAAACTTAGAGCCATATGTTCCTACATCATATTATTTGCAGCTCTCTGGAGACTAACACAACGAGATGTGAATTGAATCTTATGGATGGATGGCAAAATAGGCCATCAAGAACAACAATTCTGCATTGGGCTATTATTTTGTTCAAAAGAAGCTGCACAAAGGACCATAAAGCATTACACGATGGGAACTTTCAATTTAGAGTGATGGAGTGCACGTCAAAACATTGGAAGGCATGAACCAATGCATGTAGTTCAAGTGAGCCAGATGTTGGTGGAGAAAACACCTCATAACATGTGGATGGACATCCTTGCTAACTAGATTTCACGTGCGTGTATATAAAGGGGCTAGTGCTGGAAATCACTCCCACACCCATACATTTATCAAGTCGGTCGAGCCTCCAAGATCACCTCCAAAAGTAGTTGCAGATTATTATCCACAAAGTGGTCCTTCCGAGCTCCCGATGCAAGTATTTTAGCAGAGTTGCGCCCATGCATAATTTCCTGCACATGCCCAATCCTGGAAAGGTTGGCCATACATATGATGCATTTAACCGCCCGATCAATAAGGAAACATCACTAATCCTAAAAGTAGCATGTTGTATGCTCGCTTATACTGATTCATCATCTGATCTAAATCTCTCTCTAGCAAGATGGAGCACATATCTCTAACTAAATAGCACTTCACAGTTCACACGTCCATTCACAAGATATGATCGTTGTTCTATGGGAGGAAACTTCTCAAGTAGGTCCATGCTTAACTCATACCATTATGAGTATGATATATCTAAGAACACAACCTTTCCATCGACTAGAACTGGAAATTTGGTTATGGTTTTCCAGTTAAACCTAAAATTGGACAATTAAAACTGGACCTATTGCAACCGAAAATTGGATCGTTGCTATCCAATTCAGTCTTTGGTTGTGCTGGTAGCAAGGTTGTCAACCCGCGGGCTGACCCGGACCTGGTCTAGCTAGTGGGTCAAGGGTTAATGGGTCTACCGTTTTAGCCCGGTTTGGTCGGAAATATGGAAAGAGTCATTATATTGTACTTATCCTGATAAATTATATCAAATCTTTTCTAACATATGAGTTATAACATATAATATTACACCAAAATAATATATCGTACTTAGATCCAACATATAGTGAAAATTCACACACACTTATATAACATCAATATTCAAAAGTTTAACTTAGGATTCCAAAGATTGAGTTAGGAGAAAAGAAAAATCGGAAAATAGGCGCATTTTGCAAACCAAAGAAAAAAATGACACGATTTAACCTCCAACCCAGTACCTTGTAGCGGTCGACCCCACGGGTGTGTGCGACCCGTTTTTCTCATCGGGTCAGGGTCAAAGTGGATCGACCCGCGGGTTGACAACCTTGGTTGGTAGAAAACAACCATCCTGGTTTTGTCTGGTTAAAAATTGGAACATTTTAAATATTACAATCCACAACAAGCCCAATCCATAAGCCTACAATCTTGCATGAGCCCACAACACAAAATCCTAAAACTAAATAAGGCCAAACCCTAACTAAGAGAAATAGAACATCCTTCTTAATGTAATCCAATAACCCTAATCACCTCCTGCCCCATCTCTCTCAAACAGTCCTTTCAGACCAGACCTCCCGTCTATTAAACTCGTCAACCCCCATGCCGACTTGTCAAAACAAACTAAATCACCCTCCTCCTTTGCTGGTCTCGATGACATACCCTCGTTAACGACAATGAAGACCCACAACAGTCAGCGACACTGATGACCATGCCACTAGTCACCTTTCAGTTTCACGACCTGTAGGACGGCTAATAGTCGGCACGACTCTCTGCCTCCTCCACTTCTCACTTTAGCCTCTCCTTTTCACGCGAATCCAAGTCTCAGCTCAAGCCTCTCCGATAAGATGTCACGACTTCAAGTCTCCCTATCCCGTGACTCTTGGTCTCTTCTCAGTTCTCATTTGCCAAGTCCGACAAAGAAGAAGAAGCCCAGCGACAAGGAAGAAGTCGATAAGAGAAGTAAATGGGGAGAGAGATGGAATTTTAGGTAGACGGATAAGGATTGCAGGGTGGGAGGTCACCGAGATTGGCATAAATTTTGTAATTAAATTTGATGGAACGACATAATGTTTAACGATTTCGGATCACTATGGTTTGGGTTGAAAACCGGACCTGACAGAATCAATCCAATCTGGTCACAGTTGAAACTATATTCAATGAAATTCATATTCCAGTTGCCATTTTGCTAGAATTGCAACACGGTCAATCCAGTCCAAATTGACCGGTTTGGACCGTTTTCTAGCCCTACCGTCAGCTGATAGTCCTGTAAGAACTTCAACATCCTCCAAACTCCTTTAAAGTATAGAGACTAATAACCTGTAGGTATAAACTCCTCATAATACTTGCCTAAAATATAGACGTACCTCGAGTCTTATATGGACGAATCAAATCCTAAGCATCATCACGTAAATAAGTATAAATAACTAACTGATTAATTACACTAATTTAGTTGAAGTATAAATTATAAACTTAACCAAAAACACTAACCTATTAGGAGCTTACAATCCATCACAATCAATCTATTCCTAGTCACTAATAAAAAACTATACTAATTCATATTAGCTCAAGTTAAATTAACTAACTTGTAATGTTTTAATTAAAAAGTACCTACCTCATTCGACCAAAAACTCTATCGACTCGATGTTAACCATCCGCCCATAATAATTCCTCTTCTATTGGAGCTGGATTTAACGTTCTCAGTGGCAACATCAATGCATATTGATCATACATAGTATGAGCTAAAAATCAAAACACAAAGATAATTTAACACTAGAATAAAAATTTTCTTCGGTGAATGGCAAGACTCACAAGAACCTCGCCGCCAACGAAGAAAAGTGAAAACATGGGCACAAACTCATGAGAGCGACAAGCCGACGATCACCAACTTTACCTCTACCTGTGCTTCAGCCGCCACGACAACGATTCTCATCGTTGTACCCTCCACCATCAAACTCTTCGTCTTCCATGACCGACGGCAGAAAGGATAAGAAGGGTTGGAGAAGACGCGACCGGTGAGGGAGGGTGGTTTTCTTTTGTTGTGTAGAGGAAGAGGGTTTTCTGGCGGGTAAGCTGGTAATTGAGACGACAGAAAATCTAATTCGGAAGCTTGGAAGAGGAAGACGGAGGAAAAACAATCATCATTTGTGAGGATTAGATTTTAAACATATGGATGAAAAAAACTAATTGAGACGACAGAAAATCTAATTCGGACGCACGGACACAAATTTGACTTTCTGCCAACCCAATTTGATTTTTAGGTTGTTCAGTCAATTGAGACACACGCTCCAATTCGCCTTTTTGTCCTCCAAAAAACTCAATTGCGGCACACACCTAAATTCGTCTATCTACGAAATTAGATGAGGATTATGAATCCTTTCAGTAGTACCTTAATCACAAAAATTTAAACGAATATCACACTTATAAAAAAAATAGATGAGGATTATTCTTGAAAAAACAGTATTTTGATTAATATTTTTTAAGAATATGATAATATTTATGGAGAGAGGGATTATTTTAAAAGGTGTTAATAGATTGTAAGATCGAGATTCGTTAAAAAATCAGTGGAACAAAATCAAATAGGCCTAGAAAATTAGTTGGTCTATCAACAGCTAAGAAAGAGTTGGTCGGCCCAATAGATTTTCCTGGGTAAGGGTTTGGCCCATTAGATGACGTCATCATTTACTGTCTTCTTCCCCTACGGAATAAACGGAAGGCGGAATTCGAACATCCACCGATAATCCAAGAATCGGCGGTGAGAGGGTCAGAGAAAGAGACCGGAAGTTCGATCGGTCTATCAACTGCACAGTCATTTTCTGCCACGCAATCGGAGAAGGAACTGTGGTTTTGACCGCGAGAAAGGAATGGGAGACAATCTGTTTGAAGGGCTTCCCCCTCCTTCTCATCAGCTCCATAACGACAATCATCCGCCGCCTCCGCTAGCGAAGAGCAATACAGAGCTGGTGCTGGTTCCGCCCCCTCCAAAATCGGCCTTGAAGAGCGCCCTTAAACGGTCGAAGCCTGTGGAGTCTACCCAAGAACCCGAAGGTACACTTATGGTTTTCTAGGTTCGGAGCTGCTAGATTTTCTGTTTGAATCGGAGCTTTTCCCCGAAGCATGGAACTGTTTGAACTCTTCAATTTAGTGGATTCAGTACCTGGTTGATAGAATGGGTTTGATTTTCTTTGTCTTGGTTCCTCTTGTCTTTAGTTATTGACCCTCGAGAATGGTTTGTGAAAAAAGTTTGGAGCTTCAATTTGTTGCTGCTATGGATGAATTTATAGAACGAAAGGAACCCACTGTTTAGCAAAGTGAATTAATAGAAAATCTCAGAATTGTGTTTCTGTCAATGCTTGTTTGTAGGATCGGGTGTTGAAAAGGATTTGGCGGCGCCAGAGAAGAAGAAGCTGCGGTTCAAAACCACTACGGATGCCTCTGCAGAGCAAGTTATAGAGGCCATGCAGAAAATAGCATCACATATCAAGAACCCAACCAAGTTCTCAAAGGCTTCAAAGCTTGCTATACAGCTAATTCATGCTGGTAGTGTAACTCCCAGCACCAGTGACCAATTCTTTGCCATTCTGGAGGTTGCAATGTCGTCAACCATGTCTTGTACAGATCCTTCTGTGCGTGCAGATTATCATGCATTGTTCTCTGCAGCACATGATGCCGCTGAAGTGAGTCTTTGATTCAATGTTTTGATCATGTTTGCTGTTGGCAAAAAGTTCGGAGCCATTAAGATAAGTTATATTCACCTTTGAAAATTCATTAGCACCTTTATCTTTGCTTTGTCGTGCTTGTAGTGCCTGAGCAGGAAGCAGAAGCATCAATTAGAGACATGGTCGATAATGGCAGTGGTGGCGAATGACTTGTTCACTGATGACAGCTTTGTGGTATGCTCTTCTGACTCTGCTTAATTTGATTGCGGAGATTTCTGAGCCATGAGAATTCTTCTTCTGTTTCATCCATTGGAGTTGGTGGGATGCCAACAGCCATAACCATAACCCTAAACGCTTGGTGGGGTGAATAGTAATATTGTGCTACAGACTTAACAAGATAGGCTTGGTTTGATATGTTTTGCTGTATGCTTACTTCATTAGATCCCCTTCATATAATGTCTCTTCGAATGATTGAGACCCGGGAATTCCTCGCTACATTTTTGCAGTTTTCGAAGACTGCTGGTCAATTAAAGGAGACAATAAGCAAGCTACCAATTGTAACTGAGGATGATGATGCAGAGGAAGCTGCAATACTGCTAGATCAAATTGGGACAGCAACTGATGGAAATGAAGAAACCGGGCGAGATACATCTGGTGCTGTAGCAGTGGAAGAAGCTAAGGACAATGAGGCCGATCCATTTGGGCTTGATGCACTGATTCCAAGCACTGTGAAGAAAGATGAGAGGGCAAAGACAAAGGATGCAAAAAAGGAAGAAGATTTTGAATTAAAGAGACACCTCAGGTCTCAAAGAGAAGCCGTAATCACCTGCTTAGATATTGCTGCTCGGCGTTACAAAACACCTTGGTAAGAACTGCAACCTTGATTTAGTTCCACTGGGTAGCTATACTCAACTGCACTGTAACTGAAGTTGTCGAAGTGCATTCTCTTTTCGACAGGTGCCAGACAGTGATAGATATATTAGTGCAGCATGCTCATGATAACGTTCGGAGGTTTACATCTAAACAAAGAGATGCCATAGAGAAGCTATGGGCCTCTGTTAGGGAACAACACGTACGTAGGAAGCAAGGCAAGTCGGTGAATGGGAAACTTGACGTCACAGCTTTCGAATGGCTCCAGGAAAAGTATTCCACGGAGACGATCAGTATTCGGCGTGCTGTTGGTAGCAGTGGAGAACGTCGTGCTCAGCAGTGGCTTGGATGAGACCACTTTCTTTTGACATTGTTGTTGTAATATTATTGATTGTTATTGTTCCATTAATAGTCCCTGTCAAGAGAGCACATGGGAAATGTTCAACGATTTTGGATTGAGTGTGTGTGGAGATATCTGCATATAATCGTTTTGCTTCTGACTTGTGTTGCTTCATTTGGTTCCCCTTCCTCCACATGAGCAACGATCATGCGGCGGAGCTATGTTGGCGTCTGAAACTATTGGCAGCAATTCGCCAAGAAGCTGATGAACCTGATGGTGGATGATAAGGATTTATCCCTTTTTCTTATTCCAATTAGATGTTCTGGCAGGCCATAGCAATTCCAATGTTCAGTACTCAGCAAAGTTTATACCTCAGGACAATTGCATGAGCGAGTTCTTCACTTATTGAGAAATTCGGCACAGGACACATGAGCGAGGTCTTCACTTAGGTTGGATCAGTGAGACGGAATATCCTGGAAAACATACAGAAAAGTTCAGATCCTATGAGCACGTAATATATGCAGTTGAATAGGTAACATACACTGACATGAACAAATTAAAGTTATGGTGGATAGATCCAATTCCAAGCCAATGCTCATACAGGCAGAACATCATCAGATGGTTGAAGGCCTCGGTATGGAAGAAAAACGCGTAGGATAAGCATCACCTAATGCATTGTATAAAGTGAGGATCAGTTGAGAATATGCTGCCACTCTGGAGCCCTACAGTGCTGGAATGAGTAAATAAGCTATATCCACTACCACTAGCATTACTACCTTGTCCTATGTCTGAGGAACTCAGCTTCGAATAAAAGTATGAAACTTAAGAGAAGGAAAATATCAAGAAAATAAATTTCCAGTGAAACTACAAGATGGGTTTGACATAAGCACCGAAGTTAAGAATAAATGTGAGTTTACACTCAAATTGGTGTTATTTGTCCTTCATATTTAGGTTTGTTTCATTCTAATTCGTGTGCATAATCATTAGAATATCATCGAATGCATTCCTATTTTGTCATATTTGATTATGATGTGATTTTAGGGTGCTTTAAAAGTTTAAATGATATATGCGAATTAGGTACGAAAAGAGGCACGAGTGTAGCAAAATGGATAGGAAGTTGATGATCACGGCCTGAAGGGGAAGATCTTGGCCGTGAAAACATTGCACGAAACTGGAGTGAAGATTGTAGCCTGGGAGCCCAATACCACGACCGCGAATTTGGAGACCTTGGGCGCAAACTTCGTGAAGAAGCCAACCGAGAAGGAACAAAGAGTTTCACCAGTCTAATCACAGTCACCATCTTCCCTGACCACGAGGAAGTTTGCAGCCGCGACTCACGTATCGCGACCGTGAAGTTAGCCCGCAAAATCCTAGCAATCGAAAACCAAAACGACGACGCCTGAAGATCGTGATCTCGGAGGAGAAGATCACATTCACGATCCCCTCCTGCTCAGCCACGAACTTCTCCGCCCCCCTGAAGTCTATAAATAGAGAACCTCTTCCCCCATTTTAGAGGAACTGATTTTGAGATAGAAATTTATGGTTTAGAGAGAGAGAAGCTGAAGGAAGAAAAAGAGGAGAAGCTAGAAGAGAGCATATGTCTTCCTCAACATCTATGTCTTCCCCAAATTCTTCTATGTACCTTCTTCCCTCCTTTATGAAGTAGTCTCTTAAGATACTAGGAGTTCTAAATGTCATGCCTTAGTTTTAGGGTTATTATGTAATGGATGAATATGTTAGGGTTTTGAATGAATGTGTTTTCTAGTTGATTGTAATGCCTTTCTAGCTTTAATTGTGCTTGGGTAAGTCGCCTTAATCTTCTCTACTGTCCTACTTGAGCTTCTACGCTGGGTATGGAGTTTTAGAGTTATAAGGGTATGCGTCATCCAGATTAGGGTTAGATGAATGAATAGGATCTTGTGATGGACGAGGCGATCGTACCCCTACCATAAGAATACCTTCCTAGATGGAAGCCGGGATGAAACCTCGGTGTGGACGGTGGATAGTACCATTGAAAGGAGCTACAATTTTTTACACATTAAAAAGTTTCTTAAAGCATACTATAACTTTTTTAAAAGTGGACCTTTTTAAAATTTTAAAAAGTTCAGGTATGCACGTCTCTTGTGGGCTCATGCCTCGTGGAACTCGTCGTATGAGGTATGCACACCTTCATCTTCTTCTTCCTCGTCATCATCATCAACATGGATAATATCAGCTGCAAAAGAGCCTTCAGCCTCTGCCTCTTCATCTCCCACCTTGTTACCACCTTCTTGAATCCCTTCGTTGTCACCAACAACTACTAACCCATCACTAGCCTCAATAAAGATCACAATCTGCCCATTTTGGATTGAAGGAAGCAAACCATCCATCACCTCGGATGAGAAAAAATCTCGTGAACCCCTTGATCAATGGTAGAATGTGGTGACATGTACCACATTCGATACACCCTCTCATAGTTCAAATACATCGCACCAACTTGTCGAAGTTCAAAGTAGGAGATCACGTCAATGTCTATGTCAAATGGCTCTACACTTCTACCAACGTATTGAGGTGTGCCTTGGGAGAAGTCCATCTAACCTCCATGGTCAAAAATCAGCTCAATCTTCTCATTAGCCATCCTGCAATGAAATACATTATTCGTTCCATTTCCCAACCAAAATGTCTACATAATTAAACAAACAACTCCCCAACACATACAGACTAAAATATAGTGAATAACTCCCCAAAGCAAAACCCCAACTACTAGACAACGACAACACAACAATCCACAATCCCTATTCTATCAAATTGTCGTAAAAGCTAGATAAAGGAAGCAACACAAGATTGCGGTCGTGAATATGGAGGTATTGGGCGCGAACTTCGTGAAAAAGCCAAACGAGAAGGAACACAGAGTTTTGCCAGTCTGATCACAGTCACGATTGCGATCCCCCCTTGCTTAGCCGCAAACTTGTCCGCCCCCCTAAAGTCTATAAATAGAGGAAATCTTCCCCCGTTTTAGGAGAGCTTATTTTGAGATTGAAATTTATGGTTTAGAGAGAGAGAGAAGAGAGAGAAGTTGAAGGAAGAAAAAGAGGAGAAGAAGGAGGAGGAGAAGCTAGAAGAGATGAGCCATTTTCCTCAACATCAAGTCTTCCCCAAATTCTTCTATGTATCTTCTTCTATCCTGTATGTAGTCTCTTAAGGTACTAGAGGTTCTAAACCTCAAACCCTAGTGTTAGGGTTATTATGTAATGGATTAATATGTTAGGGTTTTTAATGAAGGTGTTTGTCTAGTTGATTCTGATGCCTCTCTAGCTTTAATTGTGCTTGGGTAAGTCGCCCTAATATTCTCTACTAACCTACTTGTGCTTCTACGATGGGTATGTAGTTTTAGAGTTAGACGAATATGCGTCATCTAGCAGATTAGTGTTAGATGAATGAATAGGATCTTGTTGTGGACGAGGCGATCGTATGCCTACCATAAGAATGCCTTCCTATATGGAACCCGAGATAAAACCTCGGTATGGACGATGGGTAGTACACATTGAAAGGAGCTATGTTCTTAAACCCTAGATACTTTACCCTAAATAGAGATGACTGACATGGGTTTAGGGGAGGCGTACTCAGAGGTGTGTGGATAATCACGAAGGCCCACAGAAAAGAGCTCACTCACCACATTCACTTAACCCAACTTATTTAGACATTGCATGATATACCTAAGCTAGGGCGAGAGATAGTTCCCCAAAGTACCTGCTTTTATCCTTGTTTATTCTCTCTACTAGTTATTTCACTTGAATCCTCCAACACAAACCCCCTTAAACCGACCGGCTAATTAACAACAACGTGGGAAGTAGGCTAGGGTATCGGGACCCGAGTGAATACAACCTTGATTACCACTATATGACAACACCATTTGAGGTTTAACTTGGCATAGGATGGGGTAGTTATTGAGACATGCAAACCACTTACAATGATCTGCGCGGAATGAATCGATCAAGCTTTTTGGCGCCATTGCCGAAGAACCTCGGTAACTAATAGAAAACCATCGAGTTGTTAGTTTAGATTTTATTTTGTTTTTTTTTTTTTTTTGTGTTTTTGTTATTTTCGTAGTTTTTATCGTTTAGTATTTTTTATCCAACTTTGTACATCACGGGTTGTGGAGTTTTCGTGTGCTTTTAGACTTTACATCATGGATCGAAATGAGTTGGAATGCATTGTGGAGAGAACTATCGATACACTTGTAACACCCCGAATTTTGGGGTATGGTTCGACCATAATATGTGATCGGTTGGATTGGCAGTTGCGTACTAAAAGTTGCAATCGCGGAGTAGTAGTAATAATAATAACAATAATTATTATTATTTTATTAGGAAAAAAATAATAATTAAAGGGGACTTGGGGCCGAGCGGCCCCTTCACTAAATCTCAAACCCGCCGCCTTTCCTCATTCATAACCCCAAACCCGCCTCCTGTATTTTTCCCCCAAGCAAAAGAACCCAAAATCCCCAGCGCGAGCAAATCCCCAAACCCTCGGCCAAAGAGGGATTCTCCAAGACCGCCGCCAGCCTCTCTTCATTCCCTAGCCGCCCTCCATGTTCTTTTCCCCAATTCCCCAATAATAAACACGACCCTCTCCCACGTTCTGTTGTCCCGCAGCAGTGAGAAACCGCCAATTCCCCAAGCAAGCAGCCGCGAGAAAACCCGCTCCATTGTTGTTCGTCACAGCAAGCAGCCGCCATCCTGATCCCGGTCCCGATTTCCCCTACCATCCCTCTCGTGTTTCTAGGCAAGGATCACAAACCCCTTCGCGATTTCTAAACGCGATTTATCGTTAGACTAATTCGAAGCTCGGTTTTCAATATTGACGTTGAGGGTTCGATCAACAAGGAGATCAGCGTCCCGGGTCATCCAACCTAGCCTAGGCACGTTATAGAGGTAAGGGAACTCGATCCCTTTGAGTTAGGTCGATTGATTTGGTGATTTTTCGTGAGGGTGCAATTCTGTGGTTTTAGCAACAGGCGATCAGGCTTTTAGTGACAGGGTTTGGGTGGACACTAAAGCAGCTGGGAATTTCCAAAAATTTATTTTAGATGGTTTAAATTGTTTTGAGTGTTTACAAGGGTTTTTTCTTGAGTTTAAAATTTTTATAAATTGAGGCAGGTCTAGGAGATGGCTTTAAATTAATTTTGGAATTTTTGAAGATGTATTTCTAATTTTAGAAATTGTTCGAACATTCGTTTTAAATTAAATAAAATTAATTTCAAGGAGTTTATAGGGGTTTGATAATTTTCCAGGGTATAAGTACTCATGATTGATGTAGGAAAATTATTATCCGAATTTTTGAGAAGGTTCAAGTTAGGTGAAAAATTCGTCCAAGACGAAAATAATTAGGAAAAGTGGTCGGTTTTGAAGGGATAGTTTTTAGAAAATTTTTAAAGGGGGTTAAGGGACCTTGGGAGCGAGTCTCGAGGGCTGGATGTCGAGAAGAGGAGGTTCTAGTGACCCAAAAGGGAATTCTAAATCGAGAAAGGTCGACAAAGGGGATGACTTTCTTA